AAAAAATATATTTTATTTATTTTTATTTGAGAGATGGAGAGAGAATGAGCTCTCATCTGCTGGTTCATTCCACAAGTGATCATAGTGACTGGGACTGAACCAGAAGCTAGAAGGAAATTCAATCCAGGCTTCTATGTCAATGGCAGGGACCCAACTGCTCTGTTGTCTGCTGCCTTTCAGGATGCACATAAAGCAGGAAACTGGAATCGGGAGCAGCGCTGGTATTTGAAATCTGCGCGCTGATTTGGGAAGCAGAACCATTAGGGCAAACACCCACACCTAAGAGGTTTTTTTGGTAAAGATTTATTGCTATTTGAAGGGCAGAGTTCAGAGAGAGATGGAGAGAAGAGAAAGAGGAGGAGAAGGAGGGAAACAGAGAGATTTCCATTTGGTGTTTTACTTTCCAAATGACTTCAACTGCCAGAGCTGGACCAGTCAGTAGCCAACAACCAGGAGCTTCATTTGGGTCTCCCACATGGGTGCAGAAGTCAAGAACTTGAACCATTCTTTACTATCTTCCCAGGCCATTAGCAAGGAGCTGAATTGGGAGTAGAGCAGCTGGGACTTAAACTGGCATTCATGTGGGATGCTGGCCCAGCAGGCAGAAAATTAGCCTACTATGTCACATGATGTCTAACACTCTCCCCACCCCTTTACCCCCAATCGATTTTAAGAATAGACCCACTAAGTCCAAACTATTAGGTCTTTTAGGAATCCTGGCACTTTTGAATCACTTTTGGGAACATTTGAGTTCTAGAGAAGGCTATTTTTGTTTGTTTTAGATTTATTTGAAAAACAACTAGACAGAGAAAGAGATGTTCCACCCACTGGATTAGCCCTTAGATGCTTGCAACAGCCAGGGCTGGGTCTAACTAAAGCCAGAAGCCATGAACTTAATCCAGGTCACTCATGTTGGTAATAGGGACTCAGCTATTTGAGTCATGCCAGGGCACACATTAGCAGAAAACTGGGATGGGGAGTGGAACTAGGACCCCAATTCAAGCATTCTGATAGAAGATGTAGGTGTCTCAAGTGGCACCTCTATTTTTTAAAAGAAAATTATTCATTTATTTAATTATTTGCATTTATTAGAAAGGCAGGTTTTACACAGAGAGAAGGAGAGACAGAGAAAGAGAGGCTCTCCATCCGCTAGTTTATTCCCCAAATTGCTGCAAGTCCAGAGCTGAGCTGATCCTAAGCTGGGAGCTAGGAACTTCCTCTGGGTTGCCCATGTGGGTGCAGGGTCCCAAGGACTTGAGCTGTCCTCCACTGCCTTCCCAGCCCACAAGCAGGGAGCTGGATTGTAAGTGGAGCAGCCAGGGCTAGAACAGGTCCCATGTGGGATGTTGGCATTACATCCTAAAAGATCAGCTTGCTATGCCACACGCCAGCCCCTCAAATATTATCTTAACAGCTAGGTGAAATGTTCTCCCCACTGAGAATTTTTACCATGAGTGAGTGTTATATTTTGCCATTTGCTTCTTAAAAAGTATGTGTTTGAAAGTCAGAGCAAGAGATAGAGAAATATGGGATGGGTGAGGGAATCTTACCTGAACTAGTTCATTCAAATGATCACAACAGCATGAATTGAGTTGTGGGCAGATGTCATAGGGGCAACTAAACAGCTGTGTCAAACATCAACAGGTCTATATTTTTTCGAGGTGAATGAGACTTAGGTTTGTTCAGGATCTGTGTGGCTCCCTCAGCAATGGGGTCATAGATGGGCAATGTAAGAATGATGATGATGCTATACTACTGAAGAGTGGGTGAGAGCTACAAGCAAGAGCATAAGAAGATGTTGTATTTCACAGGAAAGCAATCCCCCATGTTCGGGGTGGGTGGGTGACCAAATCTGTGTGTACACATGTGTGAAAAACTGGGGATATCCCCAGCATATCAGAGTCAGGGAGTGAGGATGAAGGTAGGGGATATGAAAATACAGGATTGAAAAAAATACCCAGAGTAACTCAAATGTTGGGTTAAGGTGAAGATTGTGGCTTGTTCCCTCTTAGAGCTTCTCTGGTAGATACTTTAAGGACAAACTGATTCATAGCTGCTTTGAAGTATCATCCTTGATTGAAAGACTCTTCTAGATGGCAGCTGACACCATGACTCCTCAGGTGGAAATGAGAGACATTGATGGGATCAGGTGCACACCTGAGGCCAAAGCACATGGCCCGGATGAGAAGTTTACTCTGCTCACTGCGCTTTGCAGGAACTAAGGTGGAGCTGGTGTTCCAGAGGACAGTGTTGCCAGTCTTGCTATTGCTCCTTCTCAGCAAGGTCACTGGAAGGGCATTTAGGCATTGTCTTGTGAAGCCTGACAAAGTTCATGATATGAATTTGAATTTAAGGTGACTTTTGGCAAATATTAAAAAAAAATCTTCTGATTGCCTCTTTTTCTACTCTAGTGAATGCTAATCAGAAGTGATATTTGACTAACCTCTTGATGCATCCTACTCAAGTGTGCACAGAATTACTAAGCTGATAAATTGGGTAAAATTAATTGTTGCAGATGCTAGGTTCTCCTGAACCAGCAGAAGTCATCCTGCCAGTTCCCTGGAGTCACATGTCTAATCAGTGGAGGTCACAGATAACAAAACAGAAGTTTCCAAACACAGTGGAATTCGAGAGGATTAAATCTTTCAGCGTTGTCTTATGCAATGCAATTATTGGATAAACGAACTTATTTGTTACTTCTTTTGAACTTGGAACGCATTTTTATATTTTATATGGGCTTTGAAAAAGGGTATACTAATGTTTCTGTTCATCCTTTCCCTTTGAATTCATTGTTAGAATCTAAAATTGCTCCTTGTTCACTCTTTGACACTGTTGACCCATGCTAACCAGGCAGGCAGCTAATCCCAAGATAAATGAAGATTTTAAGGTTCCCAAACCACTCAATTTGACACTTGTAGAATGTCACTTTTATGGTGATCTCTTTTTGGAGAAAAATAAATATGATTCTTAGAAATGTGTACCATTACTACATTATTTACACCAGTACTGAGAGTGAAATAAGCCTTTAAGAAATGCTGTATTCTGAGCAGATACCTGATTCTATAAACTGAGGGTAATTTTTCTCAGGCTCCTGATTTGGCAGTGCTTTGAAACTTGGTTTCTCATATTTGATGTCTCGATTCTCACTTTCTTTTTATAACAAATGTCCCTTTCTAAAACAAAACATGATTAACGTCTCAAATAATGTTGTTGGGTGCAGAAGCAGTCCTGAGTGAGGATCCAGAGATCAGGGCCCTCAGAGATCACTACCTGGTGGTTTCCTATGGTTTAGTGTGGCATTCAGAGGCAAACCTCTCTACCAGAGTTGAAGATTTTACTTGTAAAAAGTGTATTTTAAAAATGTAAGTAATTTGTTTCCCACTATACAAGCAAACTTTAAGATCACAGATTATGGGATCAAAACATAATGTGTGTTCTCCTGAAGTTTTGAAGACCATTTTCATATTTCCTATATTGTACGAAGTAACATATTTTGCATATTTGAAAGACAGAGTTGCAGAGAGAGGAGAGAGAGAGAGAGAGAGAGAGAGAGAGAGAGAGAAAGACAAAGGGAGAGCTACAGATTCCACCTGCTAGTTCATTTCCTAAATGACTGCAACAGCTGGGGTAGGCCAGGTCAAAGTAAGGAGCCAGGAGCTTCATCCAGTTCTCCCATGTGGAGAACTCCCAGAAGTACCTGGGCCATCCTCTGCTGTTTTCACAGGCTCATTAGTTGGGAGCTGGATTGGAAGTGGAGCAACTGGAACTCAAACTGAGTGGATATATAGGATGTTGGCATTGAAGGTAGATGCTTTCCCTGCTATGTCACAGTGCCATCCCATTTTACTTTTGAAAAAACACCCTAAGTTAGTTATAATTCTAAACCAATCCTGTAATATTATGGGCTCAAAGTTTGGGCGATCTGACAATTTCTAAAAAATTAAATTAACCATACATGTAAGATATTGAAATAAATCTCTAGCTGTTGCAGTAACTTCCTTTCATTTAAAATTTATTAAAAATATGAATCTTGTTTTCAAAAGCACATTTGAAACTTACTTGGAAATTAAATCAGGCTGCTTCCTCCTGTAGCCAACACCCTGTAAACTCAAAAATGTATTGTGATGCCAAAACAGTTGTTACCTGAAGTGATTGATTCCAAGGATCTCAGCCAGGGTAACCCAGAAAGTGGAGCAAGGAACTTACGCTTGAAATAGAATATAGCCCTTTTATTACTTTCTTATTACTTTATTACTTATTACTTTATTATTACTTTACTTGTTTATTTGAAAGGCAGAGAAATAGAGAGGCAGAGACAGAAAGAGGAGGAGAGACACAGAGAACAGTGAGAGAGGAAAGTAGAAGAGAGGAGAGAGGAGAGGGAGACATCCTCCTTCCATAGATGAGTTCACGCCCCAGATGGCTGCAGCATTCAGGGCTAGGCCTGGCCAAATACAGGAGCCAGGAGTTCCAGCCATCCAACCATGCCACGTGGTTATATCTTCAGCTGCCTTCCCAGGCATGTTAGCATGGACCTGCTTGGAAAATGGAGGAGCCGGAACTCCAGCCAGCACATAGATGGGGATGTAAAGGCTTAGCCCATATGCCATATTTGTCCTGCTTTCTCTCTTTTGTTCCCCTATTTCACCTTCCTTTCCTTTACTGTTTCTCTTTATCTCTTTATTATATTTCTATAATTAGAATATGGAATTAGGATGTTGAAATAAGTACTTCCATTATTCTTAAAAAAAAATGAATTATGAAGGAAGAATTTCATGTCTTCTCAAAAGTGGGCCACTGTTCCTTGACATATTTTTATCCCAGTAATGGGTCCTTGGGCTAAGTATCACTGGTCATTGGTTTAGTCCTCATGCTGGTAAGTATTTTCTCAACTATTTAGATTTATATCCCTTCTTAAACCCAGCCACTGGATTTCAGTATCTATGCGCAATGATCAGACTGACCAAGCTCAGGTTTTTCCTACCCTTTGTGTGTTCCAGATACATTTCATATTGCTCTTCAGTCGACAAGGGAAGCTGCGGCTGCAGAAATGGTATACCACTCTCTCCGACAAGGAACGGAAAAAGATCACCCGGGAAATTGTTCAGATCATTCTCTCCCGTGGTCACAGGACAAGCAGTTTTGTTGACTGGAAGGAGCTGAAACTTGTGTATAAAAGGTGTGAGTAGCTTTATGAGACTTGAGCTTCTCCTGGTTACATGGGTTTGTCTTAATCTTGAACATTTTAGGTTGCCGTTGCAGCCCCCTTGTTTCCCCAGTGACTGTAACAGCAGACTGATTTACCTGTGGTCTCATCATAAAATGAACATGGGGCCTCCGTTTCTTCACTAATTGAGGTTCCTTTCCAGTATGGTCTTACTATGGCAAACAGGTACAATAGAAAGTGTAAAGGTTTTAAAATTAGAAAAGGACTCCCAGTTATGGTGAGTCTGTGATGTACAACATAGTTTTTTTCCCCCTTTGCTTTATTGTAAGCACAGGATTTATCTATCACTTATTTATTTAAAGCTTTTTCACTTTTTATTATTTTGTTTATTGGAAAGGCGGATATACAGAGAGGAGAGACAGAGAGGAAGATCTTCCATCCGATGATTCACTCCCCAAATGAGCGCAATGGCCGATGCTATGCCGATCCGAAGCCAGGAGACTCTTTCAGGTCTCCCACGCGGGTGCAGGGTCCCAAAGCTTTGGGCCGTCCTCGACTGCTTTCCCGGGCCACAGGCAGGGAGCTGGAAGGGAAGTGGGGCTGCCGGGATTAGAACCGGCGCCCATATGGGATCCTGGGTGTGCAAGGCGAGGACCTTAACCACTGCGCCACTGCGCCGGGCCCATAAAGCTTTTTCATTTTTAACAGACTCAATGTAGTTCATAGAATTCTAAGAACACATTTTTTCCTCCCCACTCCTCCCTGCTAACATGGATTCTTAAACTGTTTGTTATTACTTAACAGTACTTAAACTAGGTGTCAATAGGACACATATGAACTGTGCAGGAAATACCCATGATTGTTTTAATGGCAGAAGATAATGGCAGTGAGATCTAATATTCTCAGTGTCATGGAGTGGCTGCATTTGCTAAGTAAACAAAATGTTTTCCTTTAGTTAAAAATGCTATGGGAAAATTCAGTTTAGTGTGATCCAGAAAGGAGGGGGGCTATGCGCAACAAGTCGGTCTTACAACACTTATTACTCATATCAGCAGGTGAGTAAGCTGATCACACAGTTTAAACAGTTAGTCCCCATTATTAGCAATTAGTAGGGTTGGCATTCAAACACTCTTTCCAAATTTAAGATCACGATGCTTCTTACTGCACCTACTTGCAAATGGCAAGACTATTTTAGGAAGGGATCTGAATTTTTAGATGAGGAAAGAGAACTGAGAGGTCATTTTGCTAATGCGCTCCCAAGAAATTGGGATTCAGAACACAGCCCAGTTGGCTCTGCACACAGCATCACGCTGCAGCATCCACAGGGAGGATGTGTTCTTGCAGAGTGTGTTCAATGAGAAAGACTGGACACTTAAAGTAGTAAATGGTCAAGGGTCTGGGCTGAGCTCCTTCTGCTGGGTCCAGGTGAGAGCTTGACAAGTTGAGATGGGGGACATAGACAGAATGACTGAAATAGAGTGAGCTTTGAGAGCAGTGAGGGTAGACACCTCTGGGCACTAATCAGGGGTCCGGATACTCCACAACTGGCGAATGGCAGGGTGTCTGAACAGAGACTGTGATTGCCATGGGCCAAAAGATGCTGCTCCCTGGTTGTAGCTCTTCATACTAAAGACTTATTGAGAATCTTACATCTCAATCGCAGAAATATTCATTGACCGTAATGTTTTCATAGGTTCTGTTTCGTATTTGGGGAGGGTGTTGGATATGGTGATTAATGATTTCCTTATTGGATGGATCCAGCCCTTTGGGAGAAGGGGGTGACTTGGGATATGTATTGTGCAAAATTGTCTTCTGATTGTATGATCATCATATTTTTGCTTTTATTTTTTCCTTTTAAGGTATGCTAGTTTATATTTTTGCTGTGCAGTAGAAAATCAGGACAATGAGCTCTTGACGCTAGAGGTTGTGCATCGTTATGTGGAGTTGCTCGACAAATATTTTGGAAATGTAAGTGTTCTGGTCTTTTGGAATTAGACAGTCTGCGTCTCAGCTCTTATTTCAGATCCGTCTGTCATCACATTGCTTCTATCCTTCAATTATGAAATTGAAATTGTGTCTGTACTGAGAATCACGCTATTCCACTAGGATCACGTTATGAGGCTTTCTGCCATGTCCATATATTTCAGCAAGTGGAAGACCCAACACCTTGCAAGGCAGATGTATCTTTATCTGTAGGCCATGATTAATGAGACCTGGTACTGAGCCAGCATTTCATTGTGAAGCATTTCTTGGTATTTTCCCCGCTTATTTCTCATTGTTTTTTCTTCTATCTCCTCTTCATCTTTTCTCTCTCTCTCTCTCTCTCTTTTTCTTTTTTGGATATTGGATTTTTTTTTCCACCTAAGCTATAGAGAAAAAAATGCCAAGCAAACAAAATCCTTACATCCGCTCCATACACACCGCTCTACAGTAACCATTCTGCATGAAGAGCCGCGAGTCGCACCAGTTCAGCTGCCCCATTGTGTGGAGCCCTTTTCCTCCACAGCAGGTTGCAGTGTGGCTCTCATCTGTGCAGCTCCCAGCAAGTAAGAGTCACTGTTGAATCCTTCCTATGGTCAAGACCAGGGACCCTTCTTAGGTGTCTGCTGTCTTTACATCTGCAGCCCCGGTTCCTCACTCATGGTACCACTTACTTTAAATTCGCCCTTCTTCATTTTGTCATGCCACTGATTTCTGCTGCTTCTGTCTTGTTTCTGAAGGTCCCACCTTTGGTTTCCGTTTCTCTCTCCCCTTATGTGCCCTTCTTCTTTTGCTAGTGTCCTGTGTGTCTCGTAACTCTCCCCATTGCAGGTGACTCTTTACTTGGCTGATGATGGTTTTCACTGGGCTTCTCATGGGAAAGACTGGCCTCTCCTGACGACCTGTTTTGCCCTATGGTTAGAATCTTTTTTGTTCTAGGATCCTTCAGTGCAAAAGAACAGTGTTATTTCCATCCTTCTCTACCTGTTACTAGACCCTGCTTAGCACTTTTCATTTTGGGCTAAATTTCCCTTTTTTTTTTTTTTTTTAGGATTTACCTATTTATTTTGAAAGTTAGAATCAGAATTACTGGGTCTTAAGAGCACAGACCATCCCTCCAATCTTGTTACTTTTCTTTTATTATATTCCTGACTTAGCCAGGGCTCTAGTGGGGCAGAAGAGCCTTGTGGTACGTTTGACTGGTACAAGATGTACTGAGGTATCAGATGGCCATTTTCTCAAGGTCATGACTCGAGGCTCATTGGTTTACTTACTTCCATTTGGAGCCAGTGCTTGAGCAGATTGTAGCAGATATTACAGAAAACTTTAATCTGAAGAAATGAAACATTAGATTTAGAAAATGCTTTCTATTCAGTGAATTCACTTCTATATTCCCTTGTTCACTGAAGATTCCTGTGATGTGGTTGCCAGGAAAATCTACTGCCAAAGGGTTGTCTGTGTTCTTTAATAGAATGAACAGTGACCACCATATTAGATCTTATCAGATTTGTTACAATACATTTCATAAACATGAGCAGTTGAACGTCTTCTAAAAGAACTTCCCACTTCTTTCCTTTTGTAGGTAATGTTATAGAATCAAAGTTGCTTCAGGCATTTCAGGTTGCTGATCTATATTTTATACAGAAGTAGTAAGAAATAGACTGGTTTTTGTCTTCCTCATCTGGTTTACCAAGTTTCTTAGCCTTTTGAAGAGAAATTTGTGAATGTATAGCAACATGATTTCAAACATGAAATGATTTAATTTAACGCTATTATTCAAATGCATTTGGACTTTTTGGTACTTTTAGTTAATTAATTTATTTTTAAATAAGCTTCACACTTGGCCTTTTGCAAGGGCCTGAAGGAGTTTTTCTGAATTTGGAACTCTCTCCTATCTTGCCTCCTACTCTTGGTTTCTGAACCCTGATTTGAACTGTTATGTTTTGAAGCCAACTTTAAGGATGTGAATTGTGGCTGAATTTCTGTCTCAATGTATATGAACACATTCAGCCAGGTATTTCAGAGCAAGTTGCTTCTCAAGAGAACTTGAATGACCTTCACCCATGCTCAGCCTGAGGAGAAACAGAATGAATTCTTATTTCCCTAGCATTCATTTTCCATCCTATTCTGGCACACTGTTAGAACCTCTATCATCATCATTAACTAAAATTTAATTCACTAAGAAATGCAATGAATCTTTTATTAAGCTAAGAGCAGCTAAGAGCAGTTCAAGGCTGTATACCCAGTAGCTATTCACTTCTTATTATTTAACAGAGCTCAGCAAAGCCTTCCTTCTGATTCTCACTGACATCATCTCAAGAATAATACACTTCTCTTTGGTTTTCTTTATCTCTTGTGTTGATATTAAAGATTTTTTGGAATTCTGTCATTTTTTTCTAAAGGAAGACTTTGTGCTGGGAAAATATTTGTGTTGGGAAATATTATCTTCTAAAGACAGATAAGTCAAAATCTATGACTACTGATTTATATTATTTTTTTAAGTACTTTTCAATTCCAAGGAGATTTACACGGATCAACTAGTTAATCTTTCAATCTTTAGGAAGTAACACTGACCCCAATTTATAGAGCCTAGGAAGAAATTCCTCAAAGTCTCACAGAAAATAAGGGTATGCTTAGGATTTAGAAATCTGCCTTATTTTCCTGAGACTGTACTCTGATTTTTGGGATTTATTTGTTGTGTGGATGCTGTTGTTCCAGTGAGTTGTGGAGCTTGATTTAGGGAATTTTTGTTGTTGTAAAAGGAAGAGGACCGTGAGTCCTGGCAGATGTTGGGGTCAACCTGCTCCCAACAGGCCCATGACTTGAAGCTTGCCCCCAACCTCTATTTTACGTATATTAAAAATGACACTCAGAAAAGGTCAATGGAAATATCTACTTTGCTAATCTCATGAGGCTTCTGGGAGAGCTAAAAAATAAAGTGAATATGAATTTTGTAAAAGCCAATCATTGCTGTGTAGTCGTGCATTGTGTTGTAATTATTCTTATTTTATTTGTGAATCTATGTGTGGTTTATTTTATTTTTCCTGCATGTAATGTGAAATGCGTTGCATTTCCTTTAGAACAGAATTGAGCAGGTAGGGGCAGCTGCTTCTCAGGCTCTAGCCAGAAGGATTTAGTTGGTGAAATGCCAAAAATAATCTCACGGCACTATGCATTCTGCCAGATGAGAAGACCTACAAATCAAATTGTAACAAGGCACAAGGCTAAGAAGTTTAAGATAGAGGATTTGTGTCTGCATTTATTTCAGAATCTAGATACATGAAAAAAAGAAGTAGATTAAAAACCCAGATATTTATTATTGCGGTAATGGTGAGGAATCCATAAGTATTTACAAAATGAGATGGCTTAGCCTCCTGAGCATCAAGATAATATTTTTCCTGTATTGCCTTCAGGAAGAGTCTTTGAACTATTTGAGTATTTAGACAATAGTGAAAGAAATGTGGATTTGGGTTAAGATTCCCGAGCATGTTTTCTTAATGTCAGATGGGGTTAGATTCAAAGAATAACCATAGAGTAGCACTTTAGAGTTTTACATCATTTGTGAAGATGCAATTGCTCATTTATAACAGTCTCTACCCTACTGGCAGTGCTTGTACATCTCTGAAGTTTCTAGAGACAGCAGCTGTGCATCGTGCTGTGTGTTTGTGTGTAGCTGTCTCTGTACCACCTTACCGATTCTTATCCCTTACTGGGTGTTAAGTTCCTAGCTCCATGGCTGTGGAGGACCCTGCATGCCTGGGGATGGGTTGCTGCTCTCTGAGTGGAGCAGAAGACATTCTTAGAGAACTTGTGTGTGTGTGTCAGCTTCGCTTTGCAGGATTCTGATGGCTGGTTTGTCTTAACAAGCCTCCTGTCTGTCTTGGATTCCCGGTGTGCGTCTGCCTTGACCTCTGATGTTCCAGGACTTTTGATACTCTAACTCCTGCCTTCTGCCACTTCTGAGCTCTGGTAACTGCTTATTTCTCCTAATTTCTTTAATGTGTATGAATGTCTGATTAACTGATTTCTTTTAAGTATGTAAAATCGTAAAACAGTGCATCACGCTCAGGTATCTTTCTAAACTTTTTTTTTTTAAATGGGACTGTACTATACATAATATTTTGCAACTTTTCTTCTTTATAAGTCGATCTTGAATCTCTTCCCATATCTGTCTGTATATATCTGCTTCATGTGTCTAAACTCTACACAGAATTCACATTCCTTAGTGGGAATATACAAAATCTAATTTAAACAATTCCCTTACTGGATGAACGCTGGGTTATATCCAATTGTTATAAGTGATGTCGTAACTTTAGTTGTTTATATATGTTTTTAAGTTCTAGTTCGAACACAATATGGAAATAAATTCCTCATGGACCTGTACATTCAAAATTGATAGATACTACACAATTGAACCCTCAGTAGTCTGTAAAATTTAGAACTTTTGCTAACAGTGAGTTTGAATACCTATTTGCCCAAATCATCACCAATATGATTTGCTCAAATCATCAGCAATGTTCTATATATTGGATATTAGCTCTTAATTTTCAGATGCACATCAACTTAGCTTGCATATCTGTAATTACTGGTAAGGTTGTACATTGTACAAGAGAACTACTGGACATTTCCATGTCTTGTGTTGTCTATGAATTGTTTCTTAACAGCCTTTCCTTTGTTTTGGTAATGTTTATCTCAAGGTTTTCAAGAATTCTTTTATGGATTCTATTCCCTTTCCATCTTTAAAGACTCTGCATATAAAAGAGTACAAATCGCATGGCAAGTAGGGTTAAAAGTGAGTTTATTCTGATTCAGAAAGTTTTGGAGTTCCTGTATATTTTTTCATGATGTGTACTTTTCCATAACCGAAGAACGTATTGTGCCCAGCCTAGGCTGTAATTGTCAATGTCCAGCCCAAACTGTGCTCTGCTTCACCACGTTCTTACCTTGGGGAGCTCTGTTCCATGATCTTCCAGTTTCCTGGAATGAGAAATAAATGGCACAATTCATATGCAAGTGTAATTCCTTTCCTGAAAGCTTGTTCCTATGAGTGAAACCTACTGGTTCTGGGAAGTCCTAGGTTGTTTTTGTGTCCCAGTTAATGTTTTAAAAATTAAAATCTTTTTAAATTTGAAAACTGGTCACACACATGTGTGTATGCATGCCTGTATGTACAGCCAGGTATGTATATACACATATATGTGCACACAAACCCATACATATGCGCAGATGTTTTAGGGAGAGGATTTATATGTGAGTGTATGTGTATGCTTATTGTTGATTTAATGCTGTTTTCTAGCCAATGAAAAGCTTATAACCCTTGCAGTTGAGTTACATGCTTTCTGAACTGGCTATTTATTACATTTCTGTTACATTCACTTGTTGTATGTTTCTTCATTCAATCAAACCATGTTCCTTGTGGAATCTGCAAGTTTATTGGCCTAAATCCTAAATCAGTGCAGCCATTTTAAGGATATTGGCAACTATTTTATGTAAAGTGATAGCATTCAGTAGAACTGGGGAATTACCTGGGAAGCTGTTAATGCTTAGTGTGTTCAGAAATGAGACCTGAAGCACTGAAGACAAGGCCCTACCCTGTACTCACAGTATGGGGAATGGGGCTGTGATGAGTGACCAGTAAGTGCGCATATCCTAATAGAAGATGCAAGTGCGAATCTAGTGCAAATGATAAGTCTGAATGGGGAACAGTCTGGTCAGTTGCTCTGCCCTTGACTTGAATTTGGCCTTGAAACTTAAGCATTCATTTGGCCAGTAGAAGAGGAGGAACATTCTAGGAATTTCTGGAATGTGTAAAAGGTGAAGAAGGCATGTAAGAGCACAGAAAGATCATGGCGTGTGTGGCTATAGCATGGGGTGAGCACTGACCAAGAACCAGAGAGCAGGGCCCTGATTAGTTGTGAAGATTTCTGTATTCCTTGCTAAGGAATTAAAGTTTTTCCTGAACAGGAGAGGAAGAAGGTAAGCATTTTAGCAAAGTGTACGTGGTCAACGACCTTAAGTAGACACAAACCTCAGGCCAAAGGTCATTGTCATGGCCTAAAGAGAGCTGTTGCAGGGCCTGACCAGGGACTTATAAACCAAGAAGGGGAAAAGATTAGGGATTTAGAGGAATGCATGTGTAGAATTGGTGAGACCAAGGGCGAGTAGAATGGGGTGAGGAGTGAATTGAACTTTAGAATGTACTATTGAGCAATTAGATTTTCCAGAGTTGGGCATATGATGCAGGAGTTTAAGCTTTCACTCCTTACTGGAAGGCTGGTTCAAGTCTTAACTATTCCACTTTTAATCCTGCTCACTGCTAATGTGCCTGGGAAGCAGCAGATTATGTCTGAAGTTCTTAAATTCTTGATACCCACTTGGGATAGCCACCAGAATGGAGCACCTGGCTCCTAGATTGAACCTGACCCAATCCCAGCTTTTGCAGCTATTTGGGAGAGTCATCAGAAGAATTCTCCCAACTCTTTCTGTCTTTCAATTAAGTGTGGCTTCATCTACTAAACAAAATAAGAACCAAAGGGAAAAGAATGAGCTTGTTAGGAGTTTGGGGCATGGTGACATGAGGACCCTCCCAAATGAGATGTTTAGTTAGCAAAAGAAAATACTGATTTAGTGCCCCAGAGGGTAATCAGGGCTGGACATCGAGTTTTGTTGAGCACCCTGGATTCTAGACACAGTTGTAGAAAGCCACTTGAACTATCAGGTGGACATGCGTATCACAAAGAGGAGAGCCTCTTTTGGGGGACACCAATGACTAAGGAGAAGATGAGTCACTAGAATGTAATGAGATGTTTGTTCTGCTGAGTGATGCATCATGAGCACTCTGTAAGTCACTGTGGAGCCAATGCAAGATGGTAGAGAGCTAATCGGCAAGGGAGTTACAGGAGGAACTGCCAGATGTTGGGAGGAGAACAGGTGTTACATAGCATTACTGTAGCCAGAGGATCAAGAGGAAGGTACTTTCCATAGGCCAGACACTGGTGAAGAGTTAGCAAGTGCTGCTAACAGCAAATGTGGGGCAGGATTTGGAACCTTTAGTGGGCAGCTTCTTTTGGCTGATAGGGTCTGGAAGGTTTGGTCTGCAAAGGAAAGTCAGGGAGCAGGAGTTGAGGAGTAAACAGATAGAGGAAGGATAGTGCTTGGCAACTGTCTGGAAGGGTAATGAATTACAGGCAGTGGTCCTGGTACATGCTCACTTGAGCCCCAGACTCTATCAGGGAGTGGTTCTGAATGTAACATCCCAGGTGCCTTAGTAAATCAGAAGCAGGGGCCGGGCCAGCAAGGTGTTTTATTGAGCCTCTGGGTGAGCCTGACTCATCTAGACTCTAAGGCTCAAGAACCTCTGGCCTGTGACATAATTTTGAGACTAAGCCGAGTTGAGCCAGTTTTCTCTTGAGTGATTTGCTAAGGGAGTCTTCATGGGTGGATTCAAGATTTACATCCCAGAGAGCAGAGAATCTGAGTTCCTCACTCACAGCTGAAAGCCAGCTGGCTCTCAGCTCTGTGTAGACAGAAGTAAAGGCTGAGTGGCCTTGTTCCTCCACTGAGGGCTGGGGGTCTTATTGCAATATACAACATCACTATATATTCATGCATTGTATAGAGAATTACATATATTTTAGTGTTTTAAAAACCTTATCTATTTATTTGAAAGGTGGAGTTAGAGGGAGATGACAGAGGCAGGGAGGAAGAGAAAGAGAAAGAGATATTCCAATTTTAGTATAAGTGAGCACAGAGAGAGATCTTTATGCCCCAAATGGCTAAAATGGTGAGCCACACCATGGCACTGGTCCACCAAGATTGATTTTGTTTTATTTGAAAGGTATAGTGACAGAAAGAGAGAGAGGGAGAGCGCGTTACAACGGCATCCTCTGCATCAGGCTGCAGCCAGGGATCCAGAACACCACGTAGGTCTTCCACTTGCATGACAAGGGTCCAGCGTTTGGGCTGTCTTTTTGTTTTCTCCCAAGACATTTTTAAAGAACATGGAGAAGCTGGAACAAGAACTTGTAGTCTGGTGGCTGGTATGGGATGCCTGCCTACATTACAAGCCAGTGTAACCTGGTATGTCATAATGCTGGCCCCCATCAGATATTTTGGTCTTTTATGTGGCGTATGGATGTAAACCTGTGAAACTTGAAATCCTGCAAAATGTTTCTTCAGATGTAAGTTTCTCAAAATGTTTATTTTTGTCCTACCAGGTCTGTGAGCTGGATATCATCTTTAATTTTGAGAAGGCGTATTTCATCCTTGATGAGTTTATCATAGGTGGAGAAGTGCAGGAGACATCCAAGAAAGTTGTTGTCAAAGCCATTGAAGACTCTGACATGTTACAGGAGGTTAGTACAGTTTCCACACATGTCAAGGGGGAATGTGCTCATGCTGGTATAACTACCCCATTTTACAGATAAGTCAACTAGACTTTGAGAGGTTAAATGACGTGTTATTCAATGGCACACAACTAGCAAGTGTGGAATGGGGACTGGGACAGAGGAAGCTGGCTTCTAGAGTCTGAATGTTTGGGTGAGACTTTTACCGTGAGGATATGTCCCTGTCAAGAAGGGATCAACTGCCAGCGCTATTGTTTTTAAGAATAACTTGATGAGATATATAAACAGACTTTCATTAAAATGTCTGTGTTCTGCTAGGAAAGGAGATGAGCAGTACACAGTGACTTTATTTGCCAGCAATATTAGAGCTTTATTATTGAAGATGGCATTTATCATTTTAATGAAAATTTGTTGTGCCCCTGGGTAAGGTTGTATGCATGTTCCTGTTTGTATAAATAAAGTGGCTTGCTTGCAGAGGTTTTAAAAAAAAAAAAAAAAAGAACGAGTCCCGAACCATCTGTTTTGTACAGCTCCTGACTCTCTGTGGTACTTATTTAAAAACAAAACAAAACAAACAAAACCACAAGACTTTGAGAAAGCAGCCCAGGTTTGCACCACGCCTGATCAGGGCTTAGCTACGTTTTCTCCTCTGTCTACCCACAGACACTGTGAAAGAGCATGAGTGCTAACCCCTGACCTTTACCATTCCAAATAAAAGTGATCCATCCAGCTCCAGTGCGCGCTCTCTCTCTCTCTGTCTTGGGTTTGGCTTGTTCTATCACTTCTTGTTACTTCTTTCCATCCCCTAACTGAGCCTTTCCACCCTCCTATCTTGGAGCATCAGTTCAGAAGAATCCAGACCGTGATAAAGTCCTATTCTGAAGTTACAGTCACTCTGCATGCTCTTTGAAAACAAGAGGCCAAGTTCGGGCAAGTTCGAGGTCTGATTCCTCAGTAACTGCTTTGGCACATCTTGGAGCTGCTGACTTGCTCTCACCCATCAAGAGGAGTGGTCCTCACGTGGCTGGTCCTGGAGACTCTGTGGGAGCAGGAGTGATAGACAGTAGCTCCTTGTGCCCACTAGGAGGCCAGTGCATTTAATCATTCATTCCCTGAGATGTTCTCACTTCAACAAACGCATTTAAACTTTCTCTGAGTTACTTGGCTCTCTCCAAATGCCACCGGAAGGGGATTTTACAAGGTACTCGAGAAAACAGTGGTTTGGAAATTCCACAGAACAGCATTTCTTAAAATATACCAGGATGGAGAGGTAGGCAGTAGAGGATGGAGATTATAATTTGATCCTCAGGATCCTTAATGTGGAAACTCCGTGGAGGAGAAGCAGACTTTTAACAGTCTGTGACACCTTAATAATTAAAGCTCCCTGAATCGGGGCAAACACACACGTAAGTCTGCTGCTTTTAGTTGTGTTTAAATCCAGGAAGCAGGTGATTCAAGAGTGAACTCCTTCATACTTCACACCAGTTGGTAGTTTATTTCACTGGTGACTGAAGGGAAGGTCTCAAGGGGCCCAACATTTAGCCTTTTGTTCCTGGTAGAGAGCAGGCAATGTCAGGGTTGCCCTCCCCTGTTGAATTAACATTTGCCAGTTAGAGAATAAACATTTTCTATCAGGATATTTTGAGCCGTAGAACTCTCATTGGAAAAGTCAATGAACATTTGGGGAAATGTATTTAAAAAAAAACTGACCTTGTGTATCTTGTCTGCTTCAGATTAGTCGGAGTGGACAGGTGAAAATAATGTAACTGCACAAAACAAAAGAATTACTGCCCTTTCCTTCCTGTATGTGGATCTAAATGCTGTCGTGACTCATTTTGACATTTTTTAACTTTTAGAACAATTGTAAACTTTAAAGTAGCCTTTGGGGCTTTCTCCAACCCCTAACTAAATAAAATTTCTTAGAATATTAAGAAATATGGGGACCAACATTGTGGTACAGTGAGCTAATCCATCACCTGCGAGGCTATCAATCCATTTGGCGAGTCAGTTTGAGTTCTAGCTGCTGTACTTCTGATCCAGTTCCCTGTTGGTATATATGGGGAAGCAGTGGCTGATGGCCCAAGTTGTGGGGCCTACCACCCTGGTAGGAGATCAGGGTGCAGTCCCTGGCTCCTGGCTTTAGTCTAGTCCACCTCTGCTATTGGAGCCACTTAGGAAGTGAGCCAGCAGATGGAAGATCTCTTTCTCTGTCTGTTCCCCATGACCCCCACCATCACTCTGCCTTTCAAGTTAATACAAATAAATATTAAATTTAAAAAATATTAAAACAATTTTTAAAGCTATCCTCACTAATTTAGTATGATGACACATACTGTCACATCTCCAGATAATCAAAGCGTATTCTAGAGCTAGCTTTTGAACATAGGAAAATGAAAGCATGGTTTGGTTGGTTGAGGGTGACCTGTTTGGTGTTTTTGTAGAGAGAATATAGGAAGTCCATCCATCTTGTGTGCTACTCAAGTTTAATTCTGCTGACATTTATGAGGCCGTTCAAGTATGTTTTAACAAGTGCTGGAAAAAAAAAATCTGGCTTTGGAGTATGTTAACAAACTTGGTAATTAATGAAGAGGCTGAGGAAATGTAATTGTAAATTGAACCCTTCTTGGGACAAGAGCCTTTTCAAAAATCATGGAAGGGGATTTCAACATTACGGTGTGTATCTTTTAATCTACCTGAGAGCTGTTGGTTGGAGCTTTCTCTTCCTAGACATATGTTTTGTGATCAAGTCCAGCTTTTCCTTAATAGATAGTTCTGTAGTTCCAGCTGTATGGTTGAGTATACAAATTATGTTAAGCTTTGAACCCTCGTTCCCAATGAACATGTAAGAGTTGATGTCCATTTATACATTTGAAAGTTTCTTATAAAGTGTTAAAAGTTAAAAGACTGAACAAAATATTGCAGTTTGCTAAAGGATGTGGTTTAAAAAGAAGACTGTTCTAATTTGCTGTTCTCTTTCAGACCATGGAAGAATACATGAACAAGCCAACATTTTAACTGCATGGTTACTGGAAGGTTTGGAGTGCTACATCTTGTGAACTTCCTGAAGAAACACCTTTTATCCAGTCTTTTCACAGAGCCCATGGCAGCATGCCAAATGCATAACTTGAAGGGATTCTTATTAACCAGCAAAATCTTGAAGTTGTCATTCATAATATACTTACAATACTGTAAGTCTGTATTATATTATATGTGAGTACTTTGGTTCTGGATGTTTAACTGTCATGTAACCTAATGGACTGCACCATTTTAACTCCATGTGCTGTTTGTCAGATAATTTTGGGAAATGATTGCAATCTGTTCTGGTGCCTCTCATCCTCATCTGACAGGTTGCAAAGCATGTGGTTATAATCCATGACTTTGAATGTGAAATTCATCTTATATCACTAATGTTTCCAAATGTTTAGTTTTTAAAATTGTATACTCATTCAAATCTATGTTAATAGGTTGGAGCTCACACATAATGTTAGAGAATTTTATAACTGTTAATGATACTCTGATTCCAGTCCAGATACAATGTATCTGTGTATAATATCCTGGAATTCACTTTTTTTTTTTTTTTTTTTACAATTGAAACTAAGGAAAAAACCAAAATAGTATAGAACTTAATGTTTCTGAGCAGTTAGGGGCTACAATCTAGCAGAGATTTTATTTTAGCTTTTTACTGAATATTAAGGATATTTTAATATGGTTACATTTTCTACAAGCTATATATTTATTAAGGCTTTAAGACATACAGTGTCTATGACATCCCTTATTATATAAAATAGTATGATAAGGATGAATGACATAACAATAATTATTATTGCTACCACTATTTTTAAAGATCCCCAGGCAATTTTAGTTGCTTGAGGGATTTTATTGCAAATATGTTGTCATATATGTTCAATGTATCTGAAGATGATTTTTTTAAAGCATTGACTATTCCTGCAATTGTGTGGTTGCTGCCTTGCCCTTTTGATAACTGCCTTCCTGCTCCCTGTCTTAAAGAAAATATTTGCTGCTGACCATTACTGCTGTGAATATGTCACATTTGTGCTTCCCGGAATGACAATTCTGTGTAAGTGGATACTGAATGTGATCAGACATATCATGGAGAAATTGCTTGTGCTGCTCCATGTGCCTCTTTTCAATGTAAATGTTAAGGTCAAGTATCATTTATCTTGGAGTGGGAAGGGACCCTCTGACATCCTCTGGCACTTTATAAAAAGGAGAGTGTGCTAGCTCTTGAATACTGTAGCAGATCCCATGTGTATACCTATGAAAAAGTGATGGTAAAAGGTTCATTTCAGCAGACATAGGTGGGGGAAAATGACCGAACGACAACAGAGCAGAGGAGAAGATCAGCCAATTTCTCAAAGTTATCATTTTTCAAAGAAAGTAATTCTAATCAGTAGATGGAGTAACCAGTGGATTTTTGACATGTATATTTTCCAGAAATTAATGATATAATTTACAATCATGGAAGAAGGCTGAAGTTTAATTTTGATTGACTTGGTTTTGTGATTACCTTTTTTGTATTTAAAAAAGTTTTTTTTTTTTTTTTAAGATGATAGAACTTTTCAAGACAGCTTGTAAAGGTTACTTCATGTAAATCCACTGCAAGTTTTCTGTTTCTTTCACGTTTTCTGCCATTTTGAATAAAAGTATATATTGAGCCTCATTCAAACGTACTGTGCGTATGGTGGATGATTTCATATTGGACCCTACTAACTACGCACAGGGATTCTCCAAATTCTTCATGTCAGTGTCTTATATAGGAGAGCATTGCGCCTGTGTGGAATACTGGGGTAAAGTCAGGGGACTTGGGGACATGTTACATAGGCCTTGATGAAAATAATCATTTTCATATTATGTAATTATAAAAAAGTACCACATAAAAAGAAAATAAATGAAAATTTGTGTAAATTTCCACATGCTTTAAGCGAGGCACTTGAGTGTGTTTTCATGAGCATAGTTTTTTTTGAATCAGACTTTATGCTTAAAGTTGATGCCCGTAATTCCCGTGAAGTCCCTTTGATGTAAGCTCTTCCCTGTCTTGACACTTACCAAGGAAAATCTTCAGACACAGGTGAAAAGGAATCCAAGATGATCTGTTTGTGATCTCACCATTTTCCAGACTGAAACTATTTCCATGTCTTTAAATGTCATGTATTAACCTATTCACGATATTATTCAAAGGTGGCATTCCTTCTCTCCTCCGGAAAATAGTGAGTTTCTAGTCAGACAGTTGAGTGGTCCTGCAGTTGTGCGGGCTTCTGCTGCTGTTGCTGTGATTTCATCACCAGCTTTAAGAGGACATTCTTATTATATAATTGCAAATGTCAAAAATCTTAGCTGCAGAATCGGTGTTTAATGGAAATATGCTGATGTGAGTTATTCAACTATTGTCATACTTGGTAACATGTAGCGATAGATAGGCATTTTTGGCTGATAGCTTACTTCCAAATATTTTGCTGGAAGGATCTGTTGAATTTGCAGAGTTCATTATTAATATTTTCCAGTCTTTTAATATTTTCCAGGCATTTTTACTCAGAAATTAATTTAAACATAATTTGAGGTGTATTTGCATTGTTTAGAATGTTATAATTAAATTGAAAACGTAAAGTGCAATAAAATATAATTTTGAAGATAAATACAATTAAAATTTGAAGCATTGAAATATTAATATGAATTAGGCAAAATGAACCCTTGAAAAGTCTTAAAATATAAATACTAATTTTACTTATGTAAGATTAAATAGATTTTCTAGGACACTGTCTCTTGTAATGAATTAATTTAATCAAATTATGGTTTTTCTGTTCTTTTATCGAACATCTTCTTTTTTGTGAAAACAGTTTTGATGAAATTTTATCCAAAATTTGACTAAGTGTGATATTAAAATCTGAAGCTGAAATGATGACTAAAAGAATGAATCAGGAAAATGAATAAAATCAATTACAAGCTCTATTTAGTGCATCTAGTTTCGCCAATACTAATAATCAAGAAATTAAAACATAAGTGCACAGATTAAACTGAATTCAATTGAAATCTAAATCTTTTACATACTTAGAGCTCCAGGAACAGTAAATTATAAGGTAAAAATTGGACTGGCTGATCATTTTAGAGTTTCATGGGAAGACACTTTTATTATTCTACCTGTTTCTGGCATTGCAGTCCATATTCAAAATCCTTTGAGCCAAAGTACGTAGTTACTGAACTTAGGAATTTCTCGGAGACAGCCATTTAAATACTTTGCAAATATAATTTCACTTTTGTGAACTTTTTGAATCAGTGGGAAATGATTCAAATGGCTTAATTTTAACAACTTGCGTGTTTGATGTTTAGTCATCGATCTCAAAGCATACAAAAGAACCACAGTGTACTGGTTGAGATGTTTTGAGCTACAAGCCCAAGGATCTTTTTTGTGTTCAGTAAACGTGTCAAAATGGACTGGGAGTTGCGGCCTTCAAGCTGGCCCCAGCTGCCACAGACAAGGCTACGGACTTTCTCTCCTGGGAATGAAAGGAACGTCTGAGTCAGATGGGCCCGGGGAGACGAGCACTCATTATACAGAAGAGGGAAGAAATCGGTACATTTATGCTTTGATCAGGTCCCTGTGCTAATCATTTGCTTAATTAAACCTTATTTTGATCAAAGCTGTTACCTATAAAAGTACTTGATGAATGTGTTTTCCTGGTATGTAATACCAGCTGATGACATTCAAGCATGGTTTTCAGCCTTTTAAATGATAGCAGTTAAGCATATTGAGTGCACTTTATATGAAAGGTGCCGTTATAGAAACAGATGAAGAGCCACTCCTGGAATACAGATGAAAGGTGAATAACAACAGTATGTTACTGAGGGTTGAAGGTGAGATTTCTTCCATGTTTTCGGGGGAAGAGAGAACAGAGAAAGAATGCATGTTTTGCTGGTGTTGAATAATTCTTGCTGAAAGCATTTGAATTTTGTGACAACTTCAAACGTGTCTTTCAACCTTGCTTGTACTTAAGTGTGAAATAAGACTTCACATTCAGTCCTGAGATGAGGAAGCTGGTATTGGATGAAACCGAACACCGCTAGAAAAAGAAGGAGCCGACCTGCCTCTATCAGAGTCACAGCCATTCTGCTTCCAGTTGTGCTTCCAGCAAGCGCACTTGACAAGGCGGTGGAAGATGGCCCAAGCACTTGAGCCAGCTGCCACCCACATGGGAGACCTTGATGAAGTCCTGACACTTGGCTCAACCCTGGCTGTTGTGGCCATCTGGGGAGTGAACCAGTGAGTGGAAGCTCTCTTTATCTCCCTCTATCTCTGCCTCTCAGATAAACACATGCATCTTACAAAAATACAAATCAGATTTCAGATTTCCAGATGTGCTTCATTTCCTGTACAGTTTTCTGCTTCCTCTTAGGTATACATCTGGTCTTTGGTTCCCAGTCCCCTCCTGAAGTTCAGTTTATTAGTATTGGAGTTATGGCCAATGGAACAGGGTCAAAATAACCCTGCTGTTGGTTTTCTTTATAAAATTCTCTCATATGTGACTCTCACTTCTCTGCCTGTCCCTGTCTAGGTGAAGAAGACCAGAATACAGAGAAAGGGAGAGCCATAAAATGGAAGGAACCTAAGAAACGCTATCATGAAAGACAGATAACCAAAAAGCCTAGATTGCTATATGGGACAGACACAAGCATCAGTTGTGCTCAGCTGCTAAATTCACAAGATTGGTTGCTCCAGGACTGAGCCATTCTGTTGCAGGAAATAATTGTGGGCTGCCGTCAGCAGGATCAGGATCTGTGAAATCAAGGTTATTCTTCTGATAATGGTGAACTATAGCCCGCTTTAGAGCTCAAACAAGTGGCTAATTATCTAGGAGTGGGTATATATAATAGGCCTGATTGGGAGAGGAGTCTTATTGAGAAGTGGGCACTAGAATGTTCAAGTGGAAAGATGATCACGTTGCCACCCGCATCTCATGTCATTTTTGTAGAGGCCCAAGTTAGGCCTTGTAGGCTACCTCAGTCTGTCTACAAGATGTTTGATTTCATATAAAAATTAAGTTTCTTTCTTGTATTCAGAACATTATCCTGACTGGCAGCATTGGATGTGCATCTCTGCATGACGAGAGTTACCTGGGGCTGGAGGGCCTGTGCTGCTGTTGTCTGAATCGCGTAAAACTGCATTTCCTTATTGCTGATTTTACGCTGCCCTGTGCCCAGCCCTGTCCTGTTGGCAGTGCGCTGTGGGACTCTCCGAATCTGGACTTTTCTGCTGCATACTTGCCCACCTTCACAGACCTTCCAGATTCGCTCCTTCTTGGCTGTGGCTAGCTCTTTTTCTTTTTATCCGAAATATTATTTCCTCTGTCCTCTATACACCAATGGAAATACAGTTCTTTTTTCATGAACTTTTTTCTTGTTCTGTTCTTCGTCTATTCACTGAAATCCTATAGCATGTGTGTGTGTGTGTGTGTATGAGAAAGAGATAGAGAGAAACTTCAGCTGTTTTGAATCTCTTGTGTTACTCTGTCTTGCAGGTCGTGATGCAGTTGTGAATAATTACCAGATAAAATCTGAGACCCATCCCTTTAAAAACCTGTCCTTTCCTCAACATTCCCAGACGAGATCGGGCGCGTTCAGGGTGGTATGGCCATAGACTCCTCAACATTCCCAGATTGGAATGTTTCTGAATTACATGAGACCAGCATTTGTTTCCAGAGAATATCATCAGAGTATTTTTTGATGCTCAAGAGTGTTTGTACTGCCTCTTATATTGTCTTCAATGACACCTTGGATTGTCAGAATGATGTTATCATCATCTATTTTTATTTCTTACTCATTTCAAAGGCATATAATTATAGAAAGGAAGAAGGGGAGAAAGAGAAAACGGAACAGGCAAAGCAGTTCCCTTGGCTTTAGACAGCTAATGCTGGGGAAGTCTCTCCTTACCTCTTCTCCAACTTGCTCACTCTCGCTCTCTCTCTTTGTCTCTCTCTCTCTCTCTCTTTTTCCCTTTCCTCTTCACCTAGACACACACATCCATATAGGTCTAACTTCCGTGTTTCCCAGAGGAGCCCAATCCACTAAGGTTGGTGGGCAAGCTGCTCAGACAGAATTAGTGCACTACATCTTCCCGTCTGGGGAGTGCCTGTCACCAATGACCTGGTAACTCTTGGTCATTATCATGGATCAATGTCAGTTTCTCTTAAACCACCCTTCCCCTCTTTAAAATGATGGTTTTTACTGAGTACTTCATGTGGAATAATATGATGAATCCTATACAAGGCTATATCAAAATACTCATAGAAAATGATGTTAAGAGATAATTTTATTCTGGGGCAAAATTCTGAAATCCATGCATATGAGTGATATCCAGGAAGCTAGTAGAAAAACATGTATTGTGCAAAATTTTACGTGAATTTCATTTTTTAGCACTAATATAAATATATTTTAATTTTATTCTTTTAAAAAATATTTATTTACTTGAAAGAATTGTAGAGAAAGAGGGAGAGACAGAGATCTTCCATGCACTGACTCATTTTACAGATGGCTACAATGGCCAGGGTTGAGTAGGTCCAGTCCAGGAGCTTTATCTATGGACCCAAACACTTGGGTCATTTCCTGCTGCTTTCTAGGTCATTAGTAGGAAGCTGGATCTTAAGCGGAATAGAAACGATGCGAACCTATTTCCATATGGGATGCTGATATCCCAGGCAATAACATCACCTACTATGCTACAAGTTCCTAACACAAAGTTCCTAAGTACGTTCTCAGGAACTTTGGGAAGGGTCCTTGTACATCTTCTCTGATGGCATCATGTACAGGAGAAGGGGTAACTCAGTAGGTCTGAGTTGTTTATGCTTGCTCTGTGATTTATGGGAACACTTAGCTTGTTCTCGATCAGGACCTAAAGTCTGAGTAACTGCTGTCAGTCACAGGGGACCCTTAAGGAAATCCTGGAAACCAGAGCTCAGTGAGCTTCTGTGGCTGACAATGTCTTGAGTGGTGTGGCACTAAACACAAGCCCGTGTGACCTTACAGAGTGGGGCACTCAGAAACTGATGCCTGGGTCTCCTGAACTTGGCCAAGGGCCTCTTTGCCTCTTTGCTTTGCTGACTTTAATCTGCCATGAGCTGTCTTTCCAGTGAATTTTGGAGCCTGTGATCTTGAGGATCCACACACTGTCCTAGTCAGAGGCTATCATCTTGTAACGGTGAATGTGGACATCAACAGTTATAGGACCAAAGAAACAGTTGGAGTAGGATACTGTGATGGTATTTTGAGGCCAAAGTGCAGTGGGTTTGGAGCCTTCCATTTACTTTTGTCACATGCTAAGGGCTAGAATTGCTGCTCCTGGGTAGACTTTCAGCCAAGATTTGAAAGTTGTATATGTCAGCCTTTTGACTCCAAACCTGTCACTGTGTTCCCTAAGGTAAGGGATAAAGTAGTCAAAGGACAAAGATGTCTGGCTTTCAATTTGCAGATTTAGGTTCTCGATTCTGCCAGAGAAGCTTGGTCATCA